AGTGTGAATATTCACTCAAATGGGACTCACATCAAGACCTATATAAACACTTACATTTTCAATCTATTCATTCGTGTAGTGTCTATTGATGATATAACTACGACATGCAACTTTGGATTCTTTCAAAAGTATTCAATTATGCATTTAGCAAACAGGAATATTTAACTAATTTTATTGTTTAACATATTATTAGCAAGAGCAGCACTAATTACATCATATACTCTATTTGAATGGAAATTTTATATCAGAAATAAATCTTTAGACTATGATATTTTGATTTTATACATGGTAGATAAAGCTCAAAATTTCTACGAATTCACAACAAGCACAAAATAAAGTGATCTCATCGTCCTATGTTCTCTTCTATCTTGCAGAATAAGATAAAACTAAAATTCTTATTCTTTACAATTATCTTTAGCAATTTTCAATATTGATTGACAAGAACATAAAATAATATAAAATATAAATAAAAACTTGTTCATCTCTACAAAAATAAAACTCAGGAAATTAAGTAGAACTCAAAATTTTACTTCAAAATGAAAGTAAAAGATATTTATTCATAAAAAGTGAATCATCAAACAACATTCTAACGATAAATAAAAAAGAAGATTGTGACAGACTGGAGGAGTAGCTTACCGCCATCCTAAGTAATGATGTTTATTAGCTACTTTACATTTTCAGAATGCGTCTATTGCACGATCTACTTTTTCTCAACATGAATTGAAAAATTTTGATAAAATAAAAGAGAATGCTAATAATATGAAATAATTATAAAATAAATTGCTTGTACAGGATGATTCATTTATTTTTACTAGCGTTTTTACAATCTCGTTTATTTCTACAAAACATCAGAGATTTTTTTTATTTCTGTATGGTTTGGTAGAATATTAATTACTCTATATAACTATATGATTTTCATTTGATTTATTTAGTATCCTGGTAAGAAAATCAAAAAATTTCTAACACTAGCTAAATACAAGTTTTTCACAAGCATATTTCACTCAGATTAAATCCGATTGTTATGAAAATAATCTTAAATGGAATAATCCATCAAAATTAGAGTCACACTGTTTTAAATTGAAAGAAGAAATACAATTTAATTGCTGGAAGTTTAGACACTTTTGTAGAACTGGATTTTCGATACCATACGGATAATCTCGAATTAACCTACAAGATTTTATAACTAAATTGAAATAACTTTAATTCACTCAACAAGAATAAAGAATTCAATGCTTCCTTCAAAAAATTTTTAGAAAATCACTAAATTTTTAGTGAAACTGAGATATATGTTTGATAAAAAAAAAATGAATTCTCTATCGAACTAAGTAAACGCTAAGTAGTTTCTTTATCCAATACGTAATAATTATTCGGATTATTAGAAGAGAACATATTGAAATTTCACAGACAAAAAAATTTTTGTTTTATGAATTTTTTGAAAATCGTTCTTGTTTTTCATCTATGTGAAAATAAATTAAATGAAAGCGTATAATTAGATAGAATAATCAATGCTCTACCAAATAGTATAGCAATAAAGACCTTCTGATTTTTTTTTGTAGAAATACAACAAACTTGATAAAAATAAGTGAATCATATTGTAGAGACGCAGGAAGTAAAAAAAAACTTGTATCTCCTAACAGCAATTGTGAATTTTAATTGTGTAATATACTTAACAATTGAATAGATGTGTACATGAAATCAGAAGAATCAATAGATTATTACTCCTAATCTTTTAACAGCAATTTATAATTTGTATACTAAATTCGTTGGAAAAGTCTGTAAAAGAAAAAGATATTTTATTTTCTAATGATATTCTAACTGTTGATGCTTCAATATGTTTAAATTGTTGAAAAGCATTTCTACTTATATGTTTGTCTATAGTTATCAAACTAAAATCGGTGGTGAAATTGAAGACATTAATGTTGTTTATATTTTATTGAGGAATAAGAAAAAAAACGGCATCATTGTAAGAGAACGTCAATGGTAAATCATTTTTTTTCTTCTTCTGCTCTCATCTGTATGGTGAGTGACAAACTGAAAGGAGGATATGTAAACAAAGAATTGCTAGAGAAACATAATGTTACATTTTTGTTCGTTTTTTTATTTCTTTCAGTGTGTCAACTTCTCATCAAGAGTTTTTTGTTACTTTATTTTCGAGTTTGTGTCAATAAAAATTCATTAAAATCAATCTAACACTATTCAATAGATTATATTAATTCTGTTTCTCTCCATGGTCATTGATTCAAAAGTATTGTGTGTCCCGAAAGTCCAGAGACTAAATACGATTAGCACCCTACTGAAAAACCTTGAAATTGAAAGAACTTTCAAAAATCAGTTCTCTAGAAAAGTGTGGATACCGCAAGTCATTAAAAAATACGCAAACGTCATATCATCATCGTCATTTAGCAACCATTTGCCGTCCACTGCTGGACGAAGGTCTCTCCCATGTTTTTCCACATTTCTCTATCTTGTGCCAAAGTGCTCCAGCCGTTTCCCAAGAATGAGTGAATTTCATCTCTCCATCTAGTGGCTTGTCTTCCAGGTTTTCTTTTCCCGTCCATTATTTGCCATTCTGTGGTGAGTTTGGTCCATCTCTTGTCTTGCTATCTAGCAACATGTCCTGCCCATCGCCATTTGTTTCTTTTTATTGTTCTTGTTACATCGATGAGCTGGGTGTGGGTGTGAATGAAGAGAAGACCCATACACCGACACCTTCACCCACACCCATCTTGAAAAACATGCATACCATGGAATATCTTCTAAGACAATGAGTAACCTATATACAATAAGTCTTGGTATAAAACTAAAACGCATATTACTTAGTTCTGGAAAAATTTTTTTTCGAATTCGGAGACATGTTATAATATCTGCATGATGTCATCTTTTGAGATCTTCACTTATTGGACAGTGTGCTACACTTGAGAAAACTCTGAATGGATTTCTACTACCATATTAAAATTATAGCTCAAAAAAATGTCTATCAATCTGTCCGTTTAACGGCTTTGTATCGTATAGTCACAAACCATAGAAAATGTGAAAATGAGAAAAACTTGAGTTTTCCACAATAGAGATTTCTATAAAAGTTCTATATCTTTTCAATTGAAAATTGCAGAACATTGAGTAACACTTGATTTTTTAAGAAATTGTTAGTGTTATAATTTAGTATAAGGCTACTTTTTTTCTCTTGAATTTACCGTCTGTAAAGATTTCGGATGCCAAAAGAATTAATCTCAACATGTTTATTCTTTATTTTCTTTCTTTATATCAGAAATCAACTTTTTCTACACTGAACTCTCATTTATATACGGAACATAGAGAGGAAGAGAAAAAGGACATGTATATTAAGAGGGAAGACAGGTGTATCAAAAGAAAGAGATATGGAGCAAATGAAAGCATATTTTAAGAAGATATGGATAATAGCGCGAGTAATTGAGAGAAAGAACAAATGTGTAAATTGCGTCAGTGGTAGACGACGAACTAATTAACAGAATACATAGCTTCAAAAGAAGAAAGGACAGACGAAATGGTGATAAGACATGTCAAGAGAAGACCGAACAATATATGTGAACATAACGTGACATTGGATAAGTACATACGATTAATTAGAGCGGAAAAGTCACACTGTCGTTATACGTTATACTCTAAAAATTGTTTGTTTTATCTTGAAAAAAATGCCTTTCTTAGCACTATCTAAAAAAGTCTGCTATTTTCAAACGAGAAATACTAAACAATTTCTGAAGAAAAATTCGAAAAGATCGCTTTATGCAAGTTTTAAAACCCATGTTTTAGTTGAAAAAGTATTTGTCCTTAGGGAGTCATGCATTTTTACTTTGTGCCAAGAACTCGTGGCAAAGAGATTACAAATGAACTGGAACAGAATAAAGAATATCATCTGGCAACCTTGATGTGAGTGTTATTTTCTATTTTCTATCGGTTTTGTAGTGCTACGATAGGGCATTGTAAACAGATAAAAATAGAATTTTCAAGTTATCGGTTGAGTTCGAAATCGATATTTCTCTAACGCATTTTGCTAGTGAAAAATGTTCACAACGGACAAATCATTTCAAAAAATAAGATTTTTTCTAGCAGTCGAAATAATTGAAACCCCATATTTTACATTCAATTATAGTTTTGTGAGATCTCTACAAAACTACATTATATAAAACAGAAATTAGACATTATGAAAAAAAAAACTTCATTGGGCGTTGTAGAGGAAAAATCAAGTTTTTAATAAAACCGTAGATTCGATTGTTGTATACAAGACAAATCAATCAAATGTACTTCTCATTACAGATTTTATGTAAAATTGCAAGACACTTTTCCAGTCAAATATATTCTTAAAACTTTTCAGCCTTCGGGAAGTATTTGAAACGAATTGCTTTTACACATCTCTGTAGTAAGAACTTTGCTCTTTTTAACAAGAAAACTATACAATATTTATGATGAATTGTTGTCACGATAGACTGCAAACAAAATTAATGCAGAATTTTTGCACCATCTATCAGTAGAGTTTTACATATTTATGATTTCTGGATTGTTTTCTTTACAGATGATTTTTTTTTAATATTCTTACCCAATTATACAATTGAGATTGAATGTATCAATCGTAATTATATTATTAACTATAATATAACCTGATCTTTCTCACTCTACTCAGACTTTTATCTATCGCAAGAGTAAAATATGTTTTGTATTCTTTATGTTTCTATCCTTAGTGATATGATAAATCTGTTCTCGCCATATCACAATTACAGTATTAGTATGAAATAATTTTATCTATATGTATAACCTATTTCAAAAATTTAAATTTGAAATATTTATTATAATCCATCAATGTTTAAATTTCTCTTGATATTTCAATATTCATATTCATCTGCAAATTGTTCATGATAAGATAAATAGAAATCCAATATCGGGACTAGTTTTATTTAAATATACAGTTTGTATATCTATTGCACATTTTAATTTATGATTTTGGAAAAAAAAATATATTTTTTTTTTTCTTATTGAGTTTGATTATTAATTTCAGCATCGTCTATCCATTGTATTAATTCTTGACGTATTTCATTTGTTATTTCATGTTGATCTATTTGTTGACAAACTGAACGAAGACGTCGTAATTCTTCATGTAATTTAGTAATTGCTTTTTCTCGATCAATAACAAGTTCTTCTAAATATTCATAACGAAGTTTTTTTCGACGACGACATTGTCGAGCACTTTCACGACTCTTTTCTAATTGTGTATTGGAATCAATTTTCATTGGTTTACGGCCTCGTTTACCCATCTTATTTTATACTAATCAAAATCTATAATAATAAAAAAAAAAAATTAATGTTAATATTTTTAAATATCATATTAAATTATTATAATTATTTCTTCAAGACAATAAAAGAAAAAAATGAATTTTATGTTCGAATTTGAAAACGACCTTTTTTTACTGTTGTAATATATTTAACTCCTTTATATGGTTTATATATTTCTCCATTCATATCAACACGTTGTACACGTATTCCTGATATAGCTAGTTGATTAATTTGAAAAGAAATATTTAATATTGGATTTGATTCAGGTATTGGTTGACCAGTTACTAGAATAATATTACCACGTATTGTTGGTAAATGTGCTGAATTTTGTGTCTTAGTTTCGATTGTACCAATATTCCAAATAAGAATTTTTTTTATAGGATCAAATGTTGATTTACCTTGAGATGGTGTTAATGTACAATTGAGTACACTTTTTGGCATTGTACATTCAATAATAACATTTTCAAGCTAAGAAGAAAAATAAATTATAATCGAATATATATATATATGAAATAAAGAAATAAATACAAACAGATTTGCCCATTGTTTGTTTTGGTCCAACAGTCAATTCAAATCGTCCTGAACTACCTTCACGATATTGTATATGATGTTTTACATAAATTGGCATACATATAGTACTGAAAAAAAAAATATAACAACGAATGTGTCTTGAAAATTTGAATAATTAATTAGTTTTGTTTTCATATTTGAAATTGATTATTCGATCAAAGAAGACGCACTTTTGATTGCAATAGTAACAGATAGTAAAGTGTTCTGTAAATATTGCTCCCAGTTGTTGATGTTTTCTCATTTGAATTTTATGGAACTTACATTATATTTTACGAAAAATTCTTCTAGTGAAATTTTCTAGAGAATCTTATGAACTATTTCTTGAAATAAAATTCAAGTCAATACATCGAAAGAGATATTTAGAAAATACTTGAAGAATCATTCTTTATGGATTATTTGTTATATTCATCATTTGTAGATAATTTAGTTATGAAAATATTTTGAGTATAGAATTTTATTCATATTGCTTTAATTGAAATAATTATGAATAATTTTAATGATATTCTATAATGAATTTTCTTATTAATTACTTTAAACATTAAAACTTTTTTTCTTTTTATCTATCAAAATTTGGAACAAAGTTGATCAGTAAATAAAGAATAGATAAATATATTCTATTAGGCCATGCATTAAATTCGAACGTTCCAGTTCGGTTCGATATGAATAAAATAGTTTGATAATTCTATTATTTTTATGAATGTTTTCTTATTCTTTTGCTTTTCATTGTAGCTATTATAAAGTATTCAAATATAGGCAAACATCTTTTATTTTAGTTTAATTCCACATGTATAATAATGGTGTAACCAATTAGATCGGCTACCACCCTATCATCATAGACACTACACTTCATGGGTTTTTGCTAAGATCGTAAGGTGCTGTCCTATCACCCACAATATCCTGGTTATGCCCAGCGACGTATTTAGGGGTGGGAATAGGGGGACCGATCCCCCCCTAACATGTTTAAATACCTGAAGGGGGGTACGGGTTTATTATTTTTCCCAACTTAAAAATTACCTTTTTTCTATGGCGATCCCCCCCCTAAAAAAATTCTTGGATACGTCGCTGGTTATGCCGCTGATGTATAATTTTCTTTATATCAATTAATTGTACACATCAAAGAATAATGTTTATATATAAATATATATTTCTATAAACTTACTTTTGTGTTGCAATATGATAAGAAATCAATCGAAAATTGCCATCAGGTGGAATAAATGAAAGAACATGTTCACTCTGAATAGATGAATTTTTTTGTTTTTGGATTTTCTAACGTATTTATTCATAATTAATTAAATTCTTACTTCCCATTTTCTTAATCGTACACATGGATGAAAACTAATATCATCAAGTAATCTAGGATTTACAAAATTTAATGTTAAATCTGGCATACCACTCAATTTTATACAACAATCAATCTAAATTAAACTTATTAAGATAAGAAGAAAACAAAAACAAAACAATTAATCTTTCATGATCATCATCACACACACATTCTTTTCATTGTATAATCATGTATTTTTTTTTTCTTTTAATAATTTTAACAAATGATCAATAATAACATTAAATATTTCAATACTTACGCTAAAAGAACATTTTATTGTCAAACGAGAAATTTTTTTTTTTCATACCTTTACAGATTATTATCATAATATTAGCAAGTAAATTAATAAGAATATCTTTATATATTTTTTTTTTTGTTTTGACTTACATATCCTTGAATTTCAGACATAACTATTGTACCATTTTGATCAATAATAGCATCGATTTCTTCAACTATATCAAAAAAAGCTTCATTATTTCTATAAGAAACATCAAATGGACGCCATGGAATATTCGATAATTGTTTCGATGGAAGAGTAGTACTAAAATTAATTATTAAAAGATGAAAAATATGAATCTATAGTTTCTATTTACTTTGTACTATCTCCAGTTACAAAATGAGCAACTTTACGTAATAAATTTGGTGGTTTAATAAGTTCTTTAAGTATATTTGTTTCTGTAATTAATGGTAAACCAGAATCAAGTATTTCATCTAATAACTATATTGAATAAGATTTTTTAACAAAGAAATTTTGTTTTATAAAAGATTTTTTGTTTTTTTTCTTTTTACTTCATAAACAATAACATAATTATCTTTAACTGATTTTTCTGTACATTCACCAAAATAATTTTCAAATAAATCCATTATACGATGAAGAAATTCAATAACAAAAAGTGGTGCAACTAAAATTAAGATTTGATTTATTTGAGACAGAGAGAGAAATTTTTATTATAGAAAAAGACATCATATCCAATTATTAATCATCCATTGAGTTTATGTAATGATTACAGTAAAATCTCTATGTAAACATCATGTTATACATGGCGATCTAGTCCGCTCAAGTAAATTTTACTAGGAATGGACTTTCCTAGTATGAGCATCGCCATATTTTGAGTAGCAACGAGCACTTATTTTCTACACTTTAAATTGGTAGGATTTTTTCGATCGGTTGACTCAAATCCAGAACTGACATGTTGAACAATTGATGCGCTTAATATATTAAATAACCAACTATTATCTATTTCAAATAAGAAGAGCTGTGTGTATTTTTTTTGCATAACTTTTCATAAAACAAGATAGAAAGTTATGATTTTCATAATTAAGAGAGAAGATTCAAACGTATAAATACATGTTGAAATTTCATTGGTCAGCACTGGACTAACCAGATTAATTCGTTATGGATATTTTGGACCCATTTCTCTATCGATCTGTGCAAAGTCGACAATGTTAGCTTATTCCGTTCAAGAGTTGTAAGATTTTCTTTAGAACCAAAAATTTCAGCCAGTTGACCTGGGATCATTCAGGAAAGCATCTTGATCGAGGTAATTCGCCATGCTAAGTTGAATGGCAATATTTACTTTTGGATCGAAATAATCTGACATTGTTATTTCAATATTTCCAAAGTTTTACAATCTGCGCTATACAGCATAATATGTCAACATGTCACAAATATTACCATTCGACTCAGCATGGCGAATTACCCCTGCTCAGATACTTTTATGAGTGATCCTAAGTCAATAGGCTGAAATCTGGAGCTTCAAGAAAACTTTTATAGCTCTTGAGTGGAACAGCCTAACAATGTCGATCTTGTGTAGATTGAAAGAGGACAATTTTTTCTATCTACTGATCAAGATCAACTAAAAAATGCGTCCAGAGTATCTTTTTTAAAATGTTCACCAAGAATTAATCTGATTGGTTCAATGCTAATCAATCAAATTTCAGTATGTATTTATGTACTTGAGTCTTCTCTTTATAAACCGCAGCACTTTATCTTGTTTCTATCAAAAGTGATTCAAAAATATACCCAAGATGCTTCGTTTTTCAATTGGATAATAAGTTCTTACAAGAAAAATTTATTAGTACAGCTCCATGAAGGTATACTATGTGAGACTCATATACCTCTTGACATTTCTAATAGTAAGAATCCTAAAAATTGTCCATTTATTTGAAATTATTATTTAATACAACTGAAGGATTGTCAATTTATAAAAGAATTCTATTGCCGATAAAATGAGCTGAAAACTACGATTTTATACTAGACTTAAGATATTTTCACAATTGCATGATCTTAGTGGTTGATATATAACTTTCTCAAAGGAACGGAATCTTTTTTTATATTTTTTGTACCGAACGGATAAACTGGAAACTATTAGACATTGAGAATTTATGACAGTCGGCCAGTTTGAAAAGTTTAACCGGATCGACAAACCGGCCAGTCCCATTCCAACTTTGCTATGGGCAATAGCAACCTCAACATATTTTATTATTTGCGAGCAGACCGAAAAGAAAATTATGTTAAAAGTAACAATCATAGAGCATATATAAGGAGATAGATTAGATCATAGCAACAGTATTTGATGTAATATCTTGTCATTTTTGTGTTATCAGCTAGTATCATCAAATCATGTCCATATTATTGCTTTACCTCTGATTAGAAAAATCAATTAATAAATTGTTGAACAGAAGAAATAGATCGCCTTGTGTAGCTGAAAAGCAATTGCTACTGAATATTTATAGGTGACAAAAACCTTCTAACAACAACGCCCAAGTTAGAGAGATTTTTGTTGTATTGTAACTTGAATATTCAAATAGAAAACTGATCAAGTTTTATAGACAGAATATTTTCATCGATCATTTCGAATGCAAATGTAGAACAGAAAAATTTGCAAATAAAATATTTACTTTCATTAGTAAGTACAGCAACAAAATAAAGATTATTTCGATATATATTTATCAAATAATGATGAGGTGTAGCAATAACAGGTGGAATATCTTCAGGATTAACACACTAAATTTTAAAATATAATCTTATTTTAAAAAAAAAGAAAAACTCTCTGTACTTTTTTTTGAGCTTCATAAAAATAATCACAGATTGATTTACTTACAACTGTTTTCCAATGTTTTTCCATAAAAGCATCTCTAAAATAAAATGAAAATATTCAATGATATTCTCTTTTTTTTTTTTTACTTTATCTTCTATAATATAGACTATTATGATATTTACCCTGCTTCATTAATAATAAATAAACTATGAATCATATCTTTTTTGTTTCTTAAATTTTCAATCTGTAAAGCAAACAAGACAATAATATATAACAGAAAAAACAAAAAAACAATACATAATTTTCATCAAGAAAACAAAAAAATATATATTTATCAGTCACATAAGTACTTCTGACCTTAGTATTGTTTTTTTAATAATCTACTAATTAAATGAAAGAAACAAAGAAAGAAAAAAAATATCTCATATACAAATATTCACACATGAATATCAAAATTATCATTAAACAACGTGCGTATATCTAACAGCCAATAACAAAAAACAAAAGTATATTATCTGATGTTTTCTTCATTCGATACGAATGAATAAATGTAAACATACGATTAACAACAAAAAAAAAAAAAAAAAAGAAAAGAAAAGATGTCTATCAAATACTTTGTTTATTTGTTTTTTATCTTATCATCAATCAAATGCCATAGCTGAACGTGAATCAACATTATTAATAATTGTATCCATGGAATCAGCAACATTCAAATCAATCAATGGTTCGAATTTTGATTCAATATGTTTATTATTGTTATTATTTATAAGTGATTCTTCAAAATCATATAAATCCGGAAGATCATTTTCATCCATACACATTGATGACGATGTTGAATAATCATCACTACGTTGAGATGATGAGATTGAATCATCGTCATTAGTACTATTATTTTCTTTTGTTCTAAAAGAAAAGAAATTCAGGTGTATGAGAGAAGTCTTTCAAATGATTAATCACTTTTCAATCAGTATTATATAAACTCTAATGAGTTTTGAATACTCTGAAAAGCATTCGAATCTTATTTTTTTTAACGGAATGCTGAGGGATGATACTTCAATAACACTGAAAAAACTCGTTTTCGACTTGAAACTTTGCACAGAAACAATCCTTAATGATAAAAATCATGGTTTACATCTACATCGATAAACTCGATGTTCTTATTGTAAATCAAAAGACTTGAAACTTTTATAATAAAGTATATCTCTGTGCAACGTTTCAATTAGAAATTCGGAAATCAGTTTTTCTGACAAGAATCACAGCATTGACTATAAAAGTACCGTGAAACTGCAATAGCTTTTAGACACCACAGATTTTTGTATGTTGCCTTTTTAAGAAAATTAACTAAGAGTGTTTTACTTTCCAGAATTAAACATATTTTATTTATGTCAAAAAGTTATTTCTCTCAATGATCATCCATCGGACATATCTACTAAGTGAAAATTTATATTATTGAGACGAAATCGAATTAAATATTTAATATCCTGGATTTATTCTCTATGATCTCTCTTAGAGAGTTACAAGTATTGTAAAACGCGAACTTTGAAAAGAAGCATTTTCGATACTCGTAACTCCACAAAAGAAGGTTATAGAAAAACCAGCGATCTCTCGTTTTATTCAAAATTTTATGTTCTTTAAGATAATATCGTTAAAAGTTAATTCTCACAAAGTTTTCTAGAAACTTTGCTATCATAATCCATCTATTGGAATGCATTTCATACAGAATTTTATTGTCATATTTAAATTCGAGTGAAATGTTTAGTATTCGATGAAAATATCAACAGTATGTTGTTATCATATGACATTCGGCGTAAGTTTTACACGATCATAAGAATGATCGTTCCTGAAAAACTTTGTCAAGATTTCGATCAAAAAGAATATTTGATCTCGGAACCATCTTGCTCATACCTAGTTATTCTGATAATTATGATTCATGTCTGATGAATGTGTTATAAAACATGAAAATAGTACACGAACTATTCACATCATTACTGTAGTGATTACGAGACTAATATAACCAATTGATATAAAACCTCGATCGGTTCTAATTACAATGATTTGAATCATAGTACTTCTAAATTTCATTCATCTTCAATAATATTTTATTTTATTTTTTTGAAATCACATACTTATCTCCATTAAATTCATGCAATTTTCGACGCCATGCTTTAATAGTACCATCAAAACCACGTCGAGACATTTTTGCATATTTGCATGGTGTTCGTGGATGTTGTCGTATACGACATTTTCTTTAATAATAAAATTTATAGAATAATTAAAATTATTATATTGTTATATAATTTACCGAGGTATAATTGATATATAAGTTTCATATGATTTCGATAGTTTTCCTTTACTAATTTCTTTTTGTCGACGTAAAAGTTCTATGATAGAAAATTTTTCAAATAAATAATTAAAAATAACAATTAAATAATATCGAACCTTTTGGACAACATTCAATAGAAGCAAGAAGTTCTTCTGTTGTTTTATTTTCATGTATAGAAAATTGTTTAAGATACAAAATAAAACTAAACCAAAAAAAAAAAAAATTTAGTTAATCAAAAAATTTCTGTTTTTTTGGAATTTTGTTTACCTATGTAATTTTTTTTCTTCGGCTTCTTCATTATCCATTTTATCACACCAATCTTTTGATAAAGATTTTTTTAATTCTTCTTGTTCTTCTTCAAAACTAAAAACGTCTTTTGTCTTTATTAATTTCATATAGAAAATCTTTTTTTTTTCACCTTGGTTTTGATGTTCGTAACAATTTTTCATCATTTCTAATATGAAGTTTATTTGATGATTTCGTTGGAGTAGAAATTTCTTGATGAAATTGATCATTTGCATTTTCATCAAAATTTGCTTCAAATTTCGTTTTTCGATATGAACTTTATAGAAATATTTTTTATGAAAAATAAAGACAATATTATTATTTTACTTTTTATCATTACAATTACGTTTTGAACGAAAACGAGCAGGACTTGGTGTTCCACTGTCACTTGATTCATAGGTACGAGTTGCTTTTGGTGTATATCGTAGACGACTAAAATTTTATAATAGAAATAATTTTTTTTTTTTTTTTTTTTTTAAACATAAAAAAATAAATCATACTTTGGAGTATTATATGTTGACATAGTTTTGAAGTGTGTGTGTGTATATCTATATACTATGAAATAGAAGTTAAATGAACGAAAAATTATTGAGGTTAACAAAGAAGTTTTCTTGTTTTCTATTTGATTGATGTAAATATGAACCAATACAATTTCTTAGAGAAACATTAATAAGACGCTACAATCAATGATATATATTGAATAGATAGTTACACACTATTGAATTGACCTTCTGTTCTTGTCGTATCGACCATCAATGTTTATTTGGTAAAGGGAGAGAGAAAAGAAATTCTATTCGTTTTATATGTTATGTTTTGATCTATTGTGTATTGTCTTATGGTAATTTAAACAAATTTAGAGTAAGTATATAGAGCATTTTGTTTTTATTATTCGTGACCCTACTTAATGTTTTAATACGCAATGAAGAAAAACACACACACACATACACACAAAATCGAATAGAAGTTTCTGCGCCGTTTTTTTTCCCCGTCTTTTATTGTCTATTATTCTCTATTTTATTATGAAGAGATAAACGATGATCGTTGACAACTACCACAGCCATTTTTTCTCATTTGCCTTTGTTGTTTTTATTTTTATATACCCATCTGCTATATATTTCTTGTCAGCGATAATAATGTATAACTATTTATTATTTTTGTATGCACACAGATATATATATAGTCAGTGAGGCAGTCTCAAAAGAGATTATGTATTCTCACAGCACAATTACCAATATATTTATTTATGTACGTTGTAAATGAGAACGACGTTGTTCAAATAGATGTTTGAGTGTTGTTTCGTCGCGTCGTCTTTTTATCTGTTTGTTTTCGGTTTTCTTTCTTCTCACCTTAAAGTTTTACGATAATCGTTTGATTTTAATGATGGCGATAAGAAAAATATGACGATGTATTTAACCGTACTCTTTTTGTTTCACTTTTTGTTTTCTTTTGCATTGTACATATCATATCCATAAAAGTAATATTTATGATGTAATAGAACATTATTCTTATTTCAGATAGTGTCAGTCTTGCTCAATCATTTCTATCGAATATAGAATGTCCTTCAGTAGTAGTAACAGTTGTTGACAGACACTTTTAAGAATCCATCTATCTTATTATTATCAACAATCATATGCTTCTATTGTCTTTTCATTTCATCAACATATTGGTCACCTGAAACTGCAAGTTAATTGTAGAGAAGGTGCTTTTTCAAGGCTTTTTTTCTCTTGTATGAACACCCTAAGAGAAGTAGAAGAAGCAAAAAAAAAACCTGATCCATTGTATGTATTGTATCTAAAGGCAAGTAAAGGGAAGAGGACAAAAAAAAAATGAACGACAATGAATAGTGCATGTAAATGCATCGACATTACCGATTTTCCTTTACATATGTCTTATTCATTTTTTTTCTTTTTTTTAAATTATTCATTCCTATGAAGTCCTTTACTTTTAAGTATCATCATTAATTCGAATATAAACTGCATGTTTATGAGTTTTTTTTTTCTTACTCATTATTATCAAATAGTAATACAAAAAATATTTGATTTATTTTTTTTTCGTTTTTTGTTGTCATAAAACTATTTAAAAAATAAAAAAGGAACTATAGATTGATGGTATCATATTCTCGCTTACTTTTTCTTTTTTGTTCTTTGACAGACATATATATATATATATATATATATATATATATAAATGTATAATATATTATAGATCGAATGCCGTCGACATTACTACCAATATGCAACAAAATAATAGTAGTAGCATTAGTAAGTGTATTTATTTAAGTTGATGATTTTTTTATTTTATTTTTTTCTTTAACATTATTATATTTTAGATGGTAGTAACGAGATTGTAATTGCAAAATTTAATTACAATGCACAAGAAAATCATGAATTATCAATTGTTAAAAATGAACGACTTTTATTACTTGATGATTCATGTCTCTGGTGGAAAGTAAAACGCATCGATACTGATGAAATTGGGTATGTACATAAATAGAAATTGAACAGTTACACAATATTAATTAAAATGAGCTTTTCTCGAATATGTAAAGTTACTTTCTCCGTTATCATTAATCGACACAAGTACATATGCAATTGATAAGAATCATTCATTGTCAATCTCTCGAGGCGATCTTTTTTTTAATTTCATTTTATTAATAACCTAGCACTTTGTATATTACATCTGAAAATTAAATGAACTCTTAACCTTGACCATACACTAAGAAAGAATTCGTCTTTTGTGTTCTCTATATTTGGCACATTTGTGATTCAATATAAATTAAATTTTGTGTTTTTTAATTTAGATACATTCCATCAAATTTTGCTCGACGTGAAAAACGTTCATTACTTGATAAAATTATTTCAAAACGTATCAATAAAAAACAAACAACAATTAATAATGAACATATAGTTTCTTTAGCTCTTGTTAAATTTCGATATGATGCTGAAAGGTAACCAAAAAAATAAAAATAAAATTTATTATTTTGCATTGTTTTTTTTTTTTGTTTTGTTTTTAGTGAAGATGAAATTAGTTTAAATAAAGGTACATGGGTTAGTGTATTAGAAAAGAAAAATGATGGTTGGTGGCTTATACAATATGAAAAACAACGTGGATGGTTTCCATCAAATTATCTTATTGAAGTAAAAAAAAAAAAAAGAAATTAATTTTTAAAGTAAAAAAAAAATTCTTCTTTAGAAAACAACTGATGGTTTAAATTCTCTTTCATTATTAAATCAATTAAAATATCATCATTCATCATCATCATCTAACGGTTTATCATCATCAAGTAGTGCTAATTCAAATATCATTGACATAAATCATAATCATCAACAAAATCGTCATAATTCTCATCCATCACATATAACAAATACAAATGATGAATATTTATTTGTTATGAAATCATCAAAATTTGCTCATTCCGATGGTAAACTTGATACATGTTTAACATTTAATCAACAACAACAACAACAACAAGAAGAAAAAAATAATTCATGGTCAGGATTAATACAATATGATAAAACAAATTCAAATTGTTTATCACCATCAATATTAAATCATGAACCATTAACACTTATTGAGGGTTTAACAACATTAACATTAAAAAAATCTTTGAATGATTCAACATATGATAATGAAATATGGTATTATGGTTCAATAACAAGAGATGATGCTGAAAAAATTTTAAAATTTTATTCAATTGAAAAAGGAGAATTTCTTATACGAAACAGTGAACGAAAGGTGAATATTTTTAATAAAGAAAGTAGTTTTAGCATAGTGACATTTCATTCATTATCAAAGCATTAAGATGAAATTGAAAGATAGTATTTTAATCTAAATTTTCAGACTCATAGAAAAGTCTAATGTTGATATGAAGTTTTTTTTTTTTTTTTTTTATTTAATAGATTGGAAATTATTCATTAAGCATTCGAGCTGATAATGATATAGTTCGTCATTTTCTTATTGAATCTACGGATGATAATACACGTTTTATTATTGGTAAACGTTCATTTAAATCAATAAATGATCTTATTGAACATTATAAAATTCATCCAGTATATGATGCTGATCCAAATAATAAACTTTATTTAAATAGACCGTTGATTATTAATAATTCCAATCATCAATTATAATTCATATTTCGATTTACAAAAAAAAAAAAATAAATTTGTATATAGATTTTGTATACATTTATATATATAGATATATATATATGTATGTATGAAATAGCTCAAAATATAAAAAAGCTTCTAATGTGTTAATTGATGTTTTCTTTTTTTTTCTTCGTTTCTTTTTTCTTGGTCTCATTCTTTTTCTTCTTCTTGTATTTGATCATAATAATAATAATAATAATAATAATAATAATATGTTCGTTGTTTGATCAAGAAGAATTATACCTTTAATAATAAATTACATATTGTGCATAGAAATTTATTTTTATTCGATAGAGTCAATTCTTCTTTTTTTTTTTGCTTCAACAAATGAAATTAGTAGTTTGTTGATAATTGTGATATATAACCATGTGTCAGAAGCAAAAGAGGTGGGAAGACCTTGGGACATATCTGTTGATGAAAGCAAGCTAAATTATCAATGATATCAGCCGAAGAGAACGATAGATATTGGAACTTAGATTTTTTGCATATAGAAACGCATAGATCTTCTATAAATAATTACGATAGTTTTGTTGAATTTTTTTATCATAGGACTTGCTATTGGTATAAGGATTTTTTTTTACTTAAAATTTTGTTTATAAGTATGTTTCATGACTGTAAAAGATGTCCATATCTATTGTAAAGTCTACTCGAGTTTTGAATTATAAATATCTCAAGAATGAAATGTTCGTTTTAGTTAAAATTTCTTGAATATTTTTACAATCCTACGATCTACTGATAGACATAAGTTTAGGTTCGAGAAAAGTCCTTGATCCAATATTCTTGGAAATAGCTAAGGTCCTATAAACGAAACTTCCGTAACTCTCGAGAGAATACATATAGATTCGAATTATTCTGATGCTATTCTAGTTTGGATATCTTCTCTATTAATCGAAAATATAAATTCAAAAGTGATGAATCAAGTCTGACGAGTCTTTGAGAAGTAAAAATCTAGTCCTTATTATAATATACAATATTAAACATAACTATATTTTCATTAGTATTCAGTTTTTCTTATGCAAATTTTATTCAATAGAGAATTCTTTTTGTTTTTGGTTAAACAATGATTATTAATGATAGAATTTTCTTTCACAATTCAAAAAGCTATTTTTTATTTTTCTCTTTTTGAAAAAAAAAACCATCGTTTACATATTTGAATATGATTGTAACGATAAATATATTATGATTGATCATATAATCTGTAATTTAGTTTTGAATATAAGATTACATGGAAGTATATATTTTCTGAAAATCAAAAATGCATTATTCAGTTTATTGTTCTTATGAATGTCCTTGATGAAGAAAAGCAGAAATAGTACCAGACAAAATATTATTATATATTTCGCACAAAATCGTTTTTTCTGTTTGTTTTTCTTTT